GGAATTCTTACTGGTTGGTAGGTGATCAAATACTTATGTCATGCAATAAAATGCAAATTAATTACTTAAAAATCATACAATGTGATTTTCTGGATTTTTAGATACCGTCTCTCACAGTTGAAGTGTACCTATGATAAAAATTACAGACCTCTACATGCTTTGTAAGTAGGAAAACCTGCAAAATTGGCAGTGTATCAAATACTTGTTCTCCCCACTGTATATATATATATATATATATATATATATATATATATATATATATATATATATATATATATATATATATATATATACATAACATTGCATTTGGATTACTGTTACAGTGCTATTTCGGTTAATTGGATTTGTTCAAAATGTATTGTTTAAAAAAACAAAACAAAATTGATTATTTGTGTAGGCTACTTGTTTGCCATTTTACTATATAGTTCGTAACATTAACTAGTAATATAACTCTGCACCCGCTATAACATCTGCTAAACTGTATACACGACCAATATTGATTTGATTTGATCTTTTCCCATGCAATAGTCTAACATTATTATTATTTTTTTTACTTTGAATACCTGCGGTAGGGCTATGACTGCTACCAAACCAATATATAGTTATGTTCCTTTATAGCAGCATTAAGCAGTAAAACAAATTAAAGCATTTTTCTTCCCCTGTTACGTTAGAAAGCTGAGGGATGGGGCTGAAGAAATGAGAGCATTCTCAAATTCATAGACAGAGCTATTGATGCAACGATTGACCATCCATGATATCAACATTTTGTTTATCCATGTTTTGAGGCTATATATAGTGTTTACATTTACTTTGTTTACAAGGAGGTCTAAGAGAGAGAGGAAGAGGGTGAGCTAGAGTCTGTTAAAAATGGTGGGGAAAGGGGAGATAGAAGAATGATAGAAAGTATAAGCAGAGTGAGCTGAAGACAGGAGGAGAAATGGAAGTGAATGAGGGCGAAGTACCGGAGGTGGTAGGTGTGGTGAAGTTGTTGGAGCCCGAGGCTTGCACCAATGGTCAGGATAAAGATGAGTGTGTGACAGTAGGAGTGAAGTTTTTGGAAAAAGTGGACCCTTGTCTTTTGGCTGATCCATTTGTGGTTTCAGGGTGGGTGAAAACAGAGTTGGGTGCTTTGGAATCGGTGACGGTAACCAGAAGTGGTCTTGTGATAATTGTTTGTGTTTCTGCTGGTCAGAGGGAGCAGGCGCTCCGTGTTAAAAGAATGGGGGCAAGAGATGTGAATTGTTTTGTGCTCAAGAAAAGGGCACCATTGAAAGGAGTGATTGCTGGGGTAGCAGTAAATGTAAAAGTTGACCAACTGAAGGGGAAGATTCCCGGTGTTTGTGATGCTCGTCGTTTGGTGTGATGCAGACAGGGTGGCGTGAGTGGTGAAACAGAAGAGTCATTGTCTGTTCTTTTGAGTTTTGATATTGAGTCTTTGCCCGACAAAGTGATGTTAGGATATACACTGCTCAAAAAAATTAAGGGAACACTAAAATAACACATCCTAGATCTGAATGAATGAAATAATCTTATTAAATACTTTTTTCTTTACATAGTTGAATGTGCTGACAACAAAATCACACAAAAATTATCAATGGAAATCAAATTTGGAGACACCCTCAAAATTAAAGTGGAAAACCACACTACAGGCTGATCCAACTTTGATGTAATGTCCTTAAAACAAGTCAAAATGAGGCTCAGTAGTGTGTGTGGCCTCCACGTGCCTGTATGACCTCCCTACAACGCCTGGGCATGCTCCTGATGAGGTGCCGGATGGTCTCCTGAGGGATCTCCTCCCAAACCTGGACTAAAGCATCCGCCAACTCCTGGACAGTCTGTGGTGCAACGTGGCGTTGGTGAATGGAGCGAGACATGATGTCCCAGATGTGCTCAATTGGATTCAGGTCTGGGGAACGGGCGGTCCATAGCATCAATGCCTTCCTCTTGCAGGAACTGCTGACACACTCCAGCCACATGAGGTCTAGCATTGTCTTGCATTAGGAGGAACCCAGGGCCAACCGCACCAGCATATGGTCTCACAATGGGTCTGAGGATCTCATCTCGGTACCTAATGGCAGTCAGGCTACCTCTGGTGAGCACATGGAGGGCTGTGCGGCCCCTCCTGCTCCTCCTTGCACAAAGGCGGAGGTAGCAGTCCTGCTGCTGGGTTGTTGCCCTCCTACGGCCTCCTCCACGTCTCCTGATGTACTGGCCTGTCTCCTGGTAGTGCCTCCATGCTCTGGACACTACGCTGACAGACACAGCAAACCTTCTTGCCACAGCTCGCATTGATGTGCCATCCTGGATGAGCTGCACTACCTGAGCCACTTGTGGGTTGTAGACTCCGTCTCATGCTACCACTAGAGTGAAAGCACCGCCAGCATTCAAAAGTGACCAAAATATCAGCCAGGAAGCATAGGAACTAAGAAGTGGTCTGTGGTCACCATCTGCAAAACCAGTCCTTTATTGGGGGTGTCTTGCTAATTGCCTATAATTTCCACCTGTTGTCTATTCCATTTGCACAACAGCATGTGAAATGTATTGTCAATCAGTGTTGCTTCCTAAGTGGACAGTTTGATTTCACAGAAGTGTGATTGACTTGGAGTTACATTGTGTTGTTTAAGTGTTCCCTTTATTTTTTTGAGCAGTGTATAAGTTATCCTGTACGAGATTTTGTGCCGAATACATTACATTGTTACAGGTGTCAAGCTTATGGGCATGTGGGAGCAGTGTGTAGGAGGGAGGTTACTAGGTGTGAGAAGTGTGCAGAAGGGCATGAGACAAAGGAATGTGTAGCATTGGGGAATGTAGTGGTATGTGTTAATTGTAGGGGTGCCCATGGGGCTGGGGATCAGAAATGTCCCGTGGGAGAGAGGCAGGTTGAGGTTTCCAGGGTTAGAGTAGTGCAGAAGTTGTCATATGCTGAGGCAGTAAAGAAAGTAGAGGAAGATGGGTCAAGGGGGAGGGATCCTGAGAGGAGTGGTGCGAGTAGTAGATCTGTACCAGTACAGAGGAATAGGCCAACAAGTTATATATGTTTCAGTAAGATTGGATTTTTAGCATTTATAGCAATGGTTATCAACTGTACTGCAGGGATGGAACATAAGTCACAGAAAATGGAGGTTGTGGTGGCAGCTGAAGAGAGGTATTTGGGTGTGCGAGACTTGACATCAGAAGAGTTACAGGGTGTGTTCAGTGGTGGTGTCCATCCTTTCAGGTTGTTGGCCTGAGGTAGGACTAAATAGATTTAAATAGTGGAGTAGGGTGGTGTTATTATTTTGTTCTATTTTTTGTGCATTTTGTTGTTGTTGTTGTTGGTAGTGTAGTGTTAGATGGTAGGGTATTTATTTATTTATTTTTTCAAGCAAAATATAAGGGAGTTGTACTCCAGTCTAGTAGGTGGCGGTAATGCGACATTTATTGGATGCCAACCACCGTAAAACTCATCGAAGAAGAAGAAAAAGACTAAGAAAAAAATAAAAAAATAAGTAGCAACTGCAGATTGTTTTTTTAACATATGTTTACGTAATTTGGGTATTTCCGCATCATTTGAGTGGGTGGTTGCAAGTTGAATTGGAGGCTCGAAGGTGGTGGTGGCGCGAGGGAGGCGAAAGAGCAAGCTGTCAAGAGAAGTTAACACTGTGTTCAAGGGAAAAAATAACCTATAGGGAAAAGGCTATTCGATTAATCACCGTGGCCGAAGTTGGAAATGGATGGTAAGTTTGTTTACAAACTGATCCTCAACGTAAATGAATTTTAGAGTCTCGTGTGAAGCTTAGCAACTTGTTTGCGCACAAGGGTGAAGCCCGGATACCATTGGTTTAGTACTACCTCAGGAGGAGTCAATACAAAATAATGGAGATCATTGCCCGCACTGTACTAGGAAGTAAATAGGCCTGCGTCTATTAGGCTATAGTTCTAGAATTGCACATCATATCTAGTAGAACATATCATAGCCTATGCTCATGATGGATGCTTTTTAAAATACAAACATTAGACTAGTGCGGTAGTCAAGCGCCTACGTGATTCTCCGAGATATTTGACTTTAGTCACAGGGAGATATTTAACTTGTAGGCCTATGACAAGATATACAGCTTTGACACTTCATTGATAAGGGGACGCCGATGTCCCCAAAATGACGTAATCAAATCAATGATAAATGTATGCTAGCTGGGCGTAAATGTTTGCAATGTAAAGTTATGAAAATATCCAACGTCGTCACAGGTTTTGTGCTTATACCTATATAGGTTAATAGCATGTTTAATAAAGCTACGCAACAATATGACATTACGAAAAGTTACATTGTAGACTTGAACGTAGACAATCAACACACATGGAAGACATCCCTTTCCGTTAGTGGCCATTTCAAAGAAAAGTAATCCACGAAATAGTGGTGGGTGGGGCTATGAACAAGCACCACAAATGAAGTTTCCAGTCTTTTCCATGAACCAGGACAGTACTTTTAGTGTAGATGTGTTAAATTGGACACCGACTACTCACAGACACAATAGGAGCGAACTAATCTGAGACCTTTTATTGTCCCCGTGTGAATACTTTTCTTTATTCATCCGCTGTACACGTTCAGGCCGATCCTAGTAGGTCTAACATTATGAGCAATTATGCCTTGGCTACTATTGTGATTAAGAGGAACCTCCAGTGTTTTCAATTAAAAGCTATTAACTTCTACTTTTAGTTAACACCCTTCTCCATATGTAGGAGCTGAATTTCTACAGCAGATCTGTGCTGAACTGTTGTGATCTTCAACGTCACCAGTTATTGTGTGCCATTACTTATCAGAGAATAGTTGAGGGAAATTATAGGTTGTGTATTTTGGTTGATCATCCTTTCTTACTGATTTATTTGTCCTAGTAAATGTTTTGTGTAAATTTCTTCCATCTCCATAGGAATGTTTGGATGGGGACAGACCCCTTTGAACCAAGGTAAGGAGAGTTATATCACTCTGTGTAACCGTTTTCTGTTTGTCTCAACTTTTCATGTTGATGGGTGACAATCAGTGAGTCAACTTTTTGGCTTCTCCCTCATCATGACTGTATTGACTTGAATCTCCAGCTTTGTTTTAAAACACATACAAACATGATGAATCACAGCTGTTGCAAAAGCTCAACACAGCATTAGATAAATTACATTGTGATAGTTTAGAGATACATTGTGACCTTAATTACATTGGTATCTCTCTACATATATTTCTCTTTATTTCTTTCTCTATTTTCTCTCTCTATTTCTCTATATATCGATTTCTCACGCTCTCTCTTTATCGCTCTCTCTCTCTCTCTCTGCAGGGAATCCCTTCATTGAGATCATTGAACAGCCCAAGCAGAGGGGCATGAGGTTCAGGTACAAGTGTGAGGGGCGCTCTGCGGGAAGCACCCCGGGAGAGAAGAGCAATGACACCACCAAGACACACCCTGCCATTAAGGTGAGGACGCCCTTTAATAACACACAGATAATGGCACTCAGATAATTAACCTGTAATTTTACAATGATTCCATGCCATCGTTTACACTGTAGCTCAATGAATTTATTCCGATACCTTAAAGGGATACTTCGGAATTGTGGCAAAAAAGGCCCTTTATCCATTTCACCAGATTCAGATGAACTCGTGGGTACCATTTTTATGTCTCTGTGTCCAGTATGAAGGAAGTTAGAGGTAGTGTTAGAATTGGCACCGTGTAGCTCAGTTGGTAGAGCATGGCGCTTGTAACGCCAAGGTTGTGGGTTTGATTCCCACGGGGGGCCAGTATGAAAAATGGATAAGAGCGTCTGCTAAATGACAATAATGTAAATGTTAGTGCAATGACTGGAAGTTTATTGGTATCTTCTGCTAACATGCTAGTGGATACCTATAGACTTCCAGTCATTGCGCAAGCGCTAGTTAGTAATTGCACTAGTTAGCAACTTAAAAATGGTATCCACAAGTTCACCTGACTCCGGGGAAGTAGATAAAAATTGCCAAAATCTCAAAGTATCCCTTTAATAATCGTAGCTAAATCACCATATATTCTGAGATGGTTAATGAATAAACTATTAATCAAAGTAAGATTTGTTATACAAATTAGCAATTTTGTCTAGTTATAACCATGGTATAGCTAATCAGTACTACACCATGCTTTACGACACATGATTTATGGAGATTTGAAGGTGATAATTAAGTGGTGGAGATTCTATGGTGAGTGATGATACACATCCTGCTAACCTGGCTTGCTACCATGCAGGTACACAACTACAATGGCCCCCTGCGTGTCCGAGTGTCCTTGGTGACCAAGAACCCACCTCACAAGCCCCACCCCCATGAACTGGTGGGGAAAGACTGCAAACATGGTTACTATGAGGCAGACCTGCAGGAGAGACGAGTACACAGGTTAGACTGTGTGTGTGTGTGTGTGTGTGTGTGTGTGTGTGTGTGTTGGGGGCTTGAGGGTTTGTGTGTGTGTGTATGCGAGGGCAGGTCTGTGGAAATTACTAGACAGGCATGGATGTGTATGTGCACGTGTGTGTCGCAAGCATGTTAGTGGGTGGGTGTGTGATGAAATACAAAGGAACAAAATGTTTGTTTGGTGCAGTGTGCATCTGCCAATATCTTGATCGAGGACATACACTTGGATGACAAAAGGGTACCAGTTAATGATTTATATGACCATTTAGAAAAAGTTGTTTCACGTGGTCTTGATTTTAAAGGCTAGAACCAGAGGATGGTTGAATGAAGCACCCTCTTCTGGTCGATATCTACAGTATCTCACTTTCACACACGTTCACTCTGACTCCTTGTCTCACTGTCTGCTCTCAGTTTTCAGAACCTGGGCATTCAGTGTGTGAAGAAAAAGGATGTGGCCGAAGCAGTTTCCTGTAGACTGCAGACCCAAAACAACCCCTTCAACAGTGAGTACATACATACACACACACACATTTGTTGTACTATCATTGTGGGGACCAAACAATTGATTCCCACTCCTAACCCTAATTCTAACCCTAACCCCAAAGCATAAAATAGCTTTTTTCCTTGTGGGGACTGGCAAAATGTTCCTTGTTTTACTATCCTTGTGAGTACTTCTGGTCCCCATAAGGATAGGTAAACCAAAAGAACACACGTGACAATCCACTGTCATAACATTATACCAGTTATATAATTCACTTCTCCAATCAAATTTTCATGTTTGTTTACCTTGGTTTAATCCAATAATATTGTGTGAATAGGAATTTATTTTTCCTCCGTTGACTGTGACTGACAGGATACAGTCAGTGTCAGATAGCCAATCTCAGATGCCACACCAATTTGCTTTGTGTCTGATGTGTTGTGTTTTGGCTGCAGTTCCTGAGGCAAAGGTGTGGGAGGAGGAGTTTGACCTGAATGCAGTGAGGCTGTGTTTCCAGGCCTCGATCACTCTACCTACCGGGGAACTCTGCCCTCTGGAGCCCGTGGTGTCCCAGCCCATCTACGACAACAGTGAGTCTGCCCCACAAACACACACACACACACACACACACACACACCCACACACCAAACACTCACCAAGTACACACTGGCTCATCTGTCACTGTTCTGTCCTGGCTGTTCATGTTTTTGTGAACTATTTTTTTATTTTTTTTTCTATATAAGGCTAAATACACTGCTCAAAAAAATAAAGAGAACACTCAAATAACACATCCTAGATCTGAATGAATGAAATAATCTTATTAAATACTTTTTTCTTTACATAGTTGAATGTTCTGACAACAAAATCACACAAAAATTATCAATGGAAATCAAATTTATCAACCCATGGAGGTCTGGATTTGGAGTCACCCACAAAATTAAAGTGGAAAACCACACTACAGGCTGATCCAACTTTGATGTAATGTCCTTAAAACAAGTCAAAATGAGGCTCAGTAGTGTGTGTGGCCTCCACGTGCCTGTATGACCTCCCTACAACGCCTGGGCATGCTCCTGATGAGGTGGCGGATGGTCTCCTGAGGGATCTCCTCCCAGACCTGGACTAAAGCATCCGCCAACTCCCGGACAGTCTGTGGTGCAACGTGGCGTTGGTGGATGGAGCGAGACATGATGTCCCAGATGTGCTCAATTGGATTCAGGTCTGGGGAACGGGCGGGCCAGTCCATAGCATCAATGCCTTCCTCTTGCAGGAACTGCTGACACACTCCAGCCTCATGTGGTCTAGCATTGTCTTGCATTAGGAGGAACCCAGGGCCAACCGCACCAGCATATGGTCTCACAAGGGGTCTGAGGATCTCATCTCGGTACCTAATGGCAGTCAAGCTACCTCTGGCGAGCACATGGAGGGCTGTGCGGCCCCCCAAAGAAATGCCACCCCACACCATGACTGACCCTCCGCCAAACCGGTCATGCTGGAGGACGTTGCAGGTAGCAGAACGTTCTCCACGGCGTCTCCAGACTCTGTCACGTCTGTCACGTGCTCAGTGTGAACCTGCTTTCATCTGTGAAGAGCACAGGGCGCTAGTGGCGAATTTGCCAATCTTGGTGTTCTCTCGCAAATGCCAAACGTCCTGCACGGTGTTGGGCTGTAAGCACAACCCCCACTTGTGGACGTCGGGCCCTCATACCACCCTCATGGAGTCTGTTTCTGACCGTTTGAGCAGACACATGCACATTTGTGGCCTGCTGGAGGTCATTTTGCAGGGCTCTGGCAGTGCTCCTCCTGCTCCTCCTTGCACAAAGGCGGAGGTAGCAGTCCTGCTGCTGGGTTGTTGCCCTCCTACGGCCTCCTCCACGTCTCCTGATGTACTGGCCTGTCTCCTGGTAGCGCCTCCATGTTCTGGACACTACGCTGACAGACACAGCAAACCTTCTTGCCACAGCTCGCATTGATGTGCCATCCTGGATGAGCTGCACTACCTGAGCCTCTTGTGTGGGTTGTAGACTCAGTCTCATGCTACCACTAGAGTGAAAGCACCGCCAGCATTCAAAAGTGACCAAAACATCAGCCAGGAAGCATAGGAACTGAGAAGTGGTCTGTGGTCACCAGCTGCAAAACCAGTCCTTGTGTGATTGACTTGGAGTTACATTGTGTTGTTTAAGTGTTCCCTTAATTTTTTTGAGCAGTGTATAAGCAGTACATACAAGCAGTACCCAGGGGGAGCAACATCACACAAAAAGACGAGAAAAAACTAAATAATAAATAAAGACGAGTGAAGGAAAACGCAAATCAAATTGCATACATACATATACACATTTGGGCTGTTAAACGTTTTAAAATAATGAATTGAGTTAATGGCATTAGTAAACAATTACCTCGACTAACCGGTGCCCCCACACATTGACTCGGTACCGGTACCCCCTGTATATAGCCTCGCTATTGTTATTTTACTGCTGCTCTTTAATTATGTAATTTTTTATTTTTTATTTTTATTTTTTGGGTATTGCTTCTTAAAACTGCATTGTTGGTTAAGGGCTTGTAAGTAAGCATTTCACTGTAAGGTGAAACCTGTTTTATTCGGCGCATGTGACAAATAAAATGGGATTTGATTTGAAATCGCGATTTAAACCGTTTTTGAATTTGCTCAAATTTGGCCCTAAAATAAAGATTTTTTAAATTTGAACAGCAGTGCATTGAGTTACAGGCATACTATGCTTTGATTGTAAAGGTCGGAAACACAAAATAATCTACATCAGAAAGTTTTAATAGCATTTTCACCATAAAAACACAGAAGCCACTGTAACATTCAGCTATTAATGCTCCCAATGTTTAAGTAGGCCTGCTCCCTCTTATCAATGTCCTTGATGTTTAACACTTGCACACACACTTTTTTTTCTTACACACACACACACACACACACACACACACACACACACACACACACACACACACACACACACACACACACACACACCTTTTAAGTACTGTTAAAGCTTCAGGCATTCTAAATGAGTGTGACTATAGGAAACAATAACTGTCTCTATGGATACAAAGAGCTTTTAAACTTATGAAAACATTGTAACCATCTGTACACACACAGGCCTTCACATCCTCTCTGACACACACACAATCATACACACCCCACAATTTTGGCAGTTGATCTTACTAATATACAAATGTTGTTGTACATGAAAACCCAAAGCCTGCACAGTACAACATTCGGTTCAAACCAGCTTTTAAGAATGTTTTTTCTTCACAGCTGTTGAAACTGCTATAATTAATCAATTTTCTTGAAAAGAGATGTGGACATTTGGGTTATAACCAAAGAGCATGAGAGCGGGACAAAATTTTCCTAAGACGTCAACAACATATTTCCAAAGAAGTTAAACAGTGCCAAAACGTATGCATGCATGTTTCACAGTTGACTCTGTCAGTTTCACTCATTTCTAAACATGAACTAGACAGCCGCTGTAGGCCTTTTACACACATTCACTCCAGCTCTCTCTTCCGTCTCACAGGAGCACCCAACACAGCAGAACTGAAGATCTGTCGAGTGAACAGAAACTCTGGAAGCTGCAGAGGGGGGGATGAGATCTTCTTACTTTGTGACAAAGTGCAAAAAGGTTTCTCTGTCACACACACACGCTTCTATTTTTGTTGGTATTAATGAGTTGAGCCTTTTTTAGTTTCTTTAACCTTCCATCAACGGCTTTGTTCCTGTATGTCCTCTTTTGAAGTTCCTCTTTGCCAGACACACATTTGAAAGTATTGTATATAAGCCCACAGGTAACCACTTATTTAGTTGGTCAAACTTAGAACCAATGGACTACGTTATCTCCTTTCTGTATTACATGAAAAGGTGGCCAATGAAAGAATGTTGTTACAGAATGTTACCAAATCAGTTAGACTGGCTCAGAATCAATTCTCCCAGACAGTCAATCCCGTCTCACTGTCCCACCCCTCCTCCTTCCCATCCCCTCCCCTCTCCCACTCTCTTCTTTCTCCCCTCCACAGAGGACATCGAGGTGCGGTTCTTCCAGGACTCGTGGGAGGGGAAGGGCACCTTCTCCCAAGCGGACGTCCACAGGCAGGTGGCCATTGTGTTCCGCACCCCGCCCTACTGCGACACCAACCTGACCGAGCCAATCCGAGTGAAGATGCAGCTCCGCAGGCCCTCGGACCGCGAGGTCAGCGAGCCAATGGACTTCCAGTTTCTGCCCTCCGACCCAGGTCACTTCCCTTTCCATTACAATGGCGACCCGCTTTGGCCCTCCTGTAGCTCAGTTGGTAGAGCATGGTGCTTGCAACACAAGGGTTGTGGGTTCGATTCCCACGGGGGGCCAGTATGAAAAATGTATGCACTCACTAATTGGAAGTCGCTCTGGATAAGAGCGTCTGCTAAATGACTAATATGTAAAAATGTTTCTCTGGCATCACTCCTGTAGCCTGTGTGGTTGTAATGCAAAACATTTTACCCAGGCTAACTCTAGATTTTTTCACTGTACAGATGAATATAGACTGATGGAGAAGAGAAAACGGACCGAGGGAATGTTCCAGAATCTGAAGCTGGGGTCCATCATGCCAGGTAAGTGTCTAAAATGATCCATGTTGCTGAACTAGGCAGCTGTGTCCTCTGATGGTTTTAATGTGTGATGGTGTTTGTTTGAATTCCAGGGGCCATGCCAGCAGAGAGAAGGCCTTTCAACACTGCCAGGAGAACAGTCACTGCCAAGCTAGCAGCTAGCCAGCCTGGTAAACCATACTATTTATTTAGCTGTTTATTATTAATAGGTGCGTTAATACAGTAAAGGGTGTTGTTCTGTATGTAACATTAGTGGTCAGAAGTTAACATGGAAACTACTGTTTAGGGACCCTACATTTATTTGTACATTTGGCAGGATACAGCATTGGGTAAGGGACAGTGGTATTGACTGTTTGTTTGTCTCTTTCAGTGGTGAACCCAGTGGTGCCCCCTAGTGCCGTCTCTGTGAAGCCCCAGCCTTACTACAAAGGCCCCCAGCCAGGCCAGCTGTTTCAAACCCAACCCAAGGCAGAGGCCTCCTCCACCACAGCAGAGACCTGGAAGTTCCTCAACAGCCTGACTCTGGACTCCCATCCCAAAGCCACCCCCGTGGCCAGCTTCACCACCAACCCCCAGGCCTCTGCAGCCACATCCTCCTCCTCCTCCGCCCAGGCCTTTTCCACCGTAAACCTGTCGGACCTCCACGGCTTCGCTTTCTCCACCTTTGCTTGTCCCCAGGAGCCGGTGAGTGCAGCCGCTACCCCAGAGCCCACCTCTACCTTCGGGGTCCAGGGCTCCCAGTTCAAGGTGGATGAGGAGCTACCCGAGTTCCCCAGCTTTTCTGAGGTACAACCGTCAGGGACTCTAGATAGTATAAACGTTGACGACTTCCAGGCTCTTCTGGGCCAGAGTGGTCTGGCTGGAGAGGGACCAGGGAGCAGTGGGCCGTCAGCCCCTCAGGCACCCTGCCAATTACCCTCCACCATCAGCTGTGGCGGCAGCACCTGGATGAACTACCCCAACAGCATTGTCAACCTGCTCCAGAACGAGAGCATGATGGACAGTTCCCCCGGCAACGCCAGCCAGCCGGCCGTCCTTGACGACCTGGACGTCTTCGGCTCCATGGACGAAGACTGTCTCATGTCCATCCTGAACAGTAGCAACCAGACCGGTTTTGTGTCCGGTCATCAGACCTAAGAGACATCCGTGTGATTTGACTGACATGATTTTTGACATAATCCCCCTTGCAGACTACTTTTAGCTTTTCCCTCGCCCTTGAGACCCTGGGCCCGGTTGCATAAAACACCTTAAGTTAATTTTCCCCTTATATTTTCCCTTAACTTTAAGTCAGTTGCACAAAACATTTTAAGGTGAATTTTCCCCTTAAATTAAGTACAAAAGTTAAGGGTGCCCATGAGGTCCCTTAACTGCTTCATTCAGTATGGATATCAATGTAAACAGCATTTGTGGAGGTGAATGTTGCCTTTGTCTGCTCTGGTTACAAAAGGAAAACATCAACCAGCTAGCTACTTAGCTAAACAATGGAAGGTGCACAATCCATTGTTACAAAGCTAGCTGGCTGGTTAGCTATAGCTATTCTGTAAGCTACCTTGACATACTAGAAACAAGTTGAGAAAAAAGTAACTACAAGAAACGTGGTTTATTATCATCTGAAGCAATTTGGTTATCCTGTCTTGATTGTGGAAGTAATATTTTGCTATCTCACAAAATGAAAGGGATCAGTCAGTGAATCAGGCCGTCTCCATGGTAACCAGATACTCTTTCTGCCATACATGCCTTCAAACTACCGTAAAACCCCTTAAGTATGCCCTTACCTAAGGAAATATTTGAGGGGTTCTATGCAACGCCCTTAAACAATTCCCTTAGGAAAGGGAAAGTTATTCCGTAAGGTAAACCCTTAAGGGAAACACTTAAGATGTTTTATGCAACCGGCCCCAGCTCCCAACCCAGCTTCCCTTTGTACTTGCTATTCTAAAGGGCTACAAAGGAGAGTCATTTGAAGGCTGGCTGAAAGAGAGTCAGAAGGTGGTGCTTTCTGCTCTCTTCTCTATGTGTATTGTGGACATGCTTATTAGGACAGCTGCAGAACCCTGCCAGTACACAATGAACAGAGTGAATAGAAGGAAGAGCTACAGGGAAGTTCTGTATCTGCCAGTTTGTGGGCAATCGCAAGACCCGAGGATGAACTGTATGACTTGAAGCGTCCCTCTTCGTCAACCCCTAAAGATACACCCCCACTGGGTTGTGTTTAAACCCAGGTTTGTTTCTAGTCTCCAAAGGCATTGGTATTCACTTCTGTTCCCACAGAGCTTCAGGGTTCAAAATGTGTCTACTTCAATCATTGTCAATGTAACCAAAGTTCAAGATTAGGACTAAATCACTTTATATGCACTTTAAATAAAGTTTGATTTAGTCCTATTCAGCCACTAAATATCATTACATTTTAAATCAACCAGAGCTTTAAACCCTAGACCTATTGTATTGTCTATTTTTAGTTGAATTCTGGGTTGAATTCAAACAATAGCTGTTGATGACTTTGCAAGTGTTATATAGGCCTAAATAGCATCATTGATGATAAAGTATGGTCACATTTAATTTGCTCTGTTAAATCTACCCTTTGGAATGACTTCGATAGCCACAGTGAATCGATTTAGTTTTTAAATGGAGATCTCTCAACAATCGTTCTCACGATAGCACATTGGTAATAGTCAGTGTCAAATATCATAGCTAATTAGGGCTGGGCTTGGTTAAAACCCTGCATGGAAGACTAAAGGGTAGCTGTAGATCGATCAATTCTCCAGTAGGAGGCCTATTGTGTTTTTCTTTTCTGATAGTACATATAACATTGAAGATCTGACGTTGTTTTAAAGGTACAAATTCTATATTTTATACAAGGTTTGTATATGTTGAAATGTGGTTACCATGATGACATAATCCTGTGGTAAAAATTTCACAAATTACATTGAAAAAATGTTGATTAAACCAGTTTGTGCCCAGTGGGTATTGACTAGACAGACTAGGTGAGGAGAATTTGCTGAGCCAATAGACCAGGAGTTGAACCTGCCAACCAATCAATTGGTGACAAAATGTAACCATTATTCTATTATGGGGAGTAGGGGGAAGTTGCCCCTAGACACTGATCTTGAGTCCTTTTGCATTTCCCCCACTTACAGTTAAGGGAAGGGAAGCTGATCCTAGATCTGTACCTAGGGGACACAGCATAACATTAACAGACTACATTCCCAAATCAACCTTCTACTAAAATACTTTTGATGCTTGCACTTTGTGTTCAGCAGATACACCAAAGTCACTAGGTGACCACTATGTCTGTATCAAGGCCTTCTAGGATGGTTTTTATTCAAATAAGAATCCAAATGTTTCATCTTTTATATTGTGCTTTTTTTGTGTACTATCTGTTCTGTTGGACTCCTTGAAGATTGTCTGAATATTAAGATTTTGACAAGAAATCGGGTCATAATATGGCCAACCTTGGCTTTCACAGCTGAGATTGTCTGGTGGTTGTGAAATTTGTTTGTAAAAAGGCAAATATTTCTCAAAGGGAATGACAATCAGAATAGTTCATTAATGGCTGTGGGGTATACTAAAGTAGTGGAATATCATCATAAAGAAAGATTGTAATTTCAATGTGCGTAAGCCTTAGGTGATGATATACACTGAGTATTCCAAACATTAAGAACATCTTCCTAATATTGAGTTGCCCCCCCTTTTACCCTCGGAACAGCCTCAATTCGTCAGAGCATGGACTCCGCAAAGTGTCGAAAGCGTTCCACAGGGATGCTGGCCCATGTTGACTCCAATGCTTCACACAGTTGTGTCAAGTTGGCTGGATGTCCTTTGGGTGGTGGACAATTCTTGATACACACGGGAAATTGAGTGTGAGAAACCTGCAGCGTTGCAGTTCTTGACACAAACCGGTGCGCCTGGCACCCACTACCATACCACGTTCAAAGGCACTTAAATTTTTTGTCTTGCCCATTCACCCTCTGAATGGCACACATACACAATCCATGTCTCAAGGCTTAAAAATCCTTCTTTAACCTGTCTCCTCCCCTTCATCTACACTGATTGATTGAAGTGGATTTAACAGGTGGTATCAATAAGGGATCATAGCTTTCACCTGGTCAGTCTATGTCATGGAAAGAGCAGATATTCTTAATGTTTTGTATACTCTGTGTACGTGACATACAGTACTCACCTTGATGACGGATATCTTAATGTTATGTACAGTTTTACCATGACAACATCTGCAAGTATAACTTTGGAACAGGAAGGATATTGCTGTTTATAAATGTAAATTATGTCAGAATGTAGCAGATGCATTGATAATATCAGTTAAAAAGACTAATTCCATATCATGTTAGTAGTTTTGAGTCAGTATCTCAATATATTTCTGTTCATCACTAGATCAATTATACTTATTCACAGTGCGGTTTGCTTTTAGACCAGTGTAATATTAGTACATTTTGCTGTATGGTATATGAACATCAGTGGCAGTTTATTTTCCATTGTCAATTAGGACATTTTTAAACCGTAACTTTGTACTTATTCAATGCTGCCTTAATGAAAACAGAAAATGGTATAATGTTTTGTACAAGTATATATTCAGGCAGGAAATAAATGACATATTGAAAACATTTGGGTTTGCTAAGTGATTCCACAATGTGTAGCCTACTTTACTTCCACAATGTCACTCAAGACAGTATAACCAAATATTGTTTTATCTGTGGTATAACTGTAATACAACAAATGTTTAAAATAACTTTATTTGGCAATTGTTGTAATTAACTGGTAACTGAGTGCAAACTATATTGAAGCCAAACAATAAAAAAGGTAAGAAATTGTCACGTATATACAGAAGATCAGTTTTAATAATGATAAATGCAGATAAACAAAACATGAGAAGCGTACAGAATGTGAATCAAAACAAACCGATACTGAGGGCTAAATAAAGGGAAGGTGATGAAGTCCAGGTGTGCTTAATGATGGGGAGCAGGTGTGCAAAATAATGGTTGCCAGGGCCGCTGGTTAGTAGACCGTCGAGCACTGGAGAGGGGTAGCGGGGGTAGGTGTGACAGAAATCCACAATAAATAAATAAAATCACATAATCAGAAAACTTGACATGTTTGTCATACAGCCATCTTTGTAAAAGTTAAGGTACAGAGTTAAAGGGATACTTCGGAATTTTGGCAATGAGTCACTCATTGTCCAGTATGAAGGAAGTTAAAGGTAGTTGAGCCGTGGAAGTATATGGGTATCTAGCATTGAGATCTTCAGTTTCTTGGCAATTTCTCGCATGGAATAGCCTTAATTTCTCAGAACAATAATAGACTGATGAGTTTCAGAAGAAAGTTATTTGTTTCTGGCCATTTTGAGCCTGTAATCGAACCCACAATTGCTGATGCTCTAGATCAGGGGTGTCAAACGTCCGGCCCGCGGGCCGGATCAGGCACGCAAACGGGTTTAATCCGGCCCACGAGATTATTACAAAAATAAATAAAAAGAAAAAAAGAATTATAATTTTGTAAAGTATAAAAATGCGCTGCAATTTTTCAATAAAATTAACTGCTTTTCCAATTGCGTCCACTGGATGGCGCAATAGCAATTGTGTTAAGCAAGCAAATTGTTTATACCGGAGCAGAGCAAGTAGGTCAAGCACGTGCAGCCAATGAGCTACTTTGTTTTGCCCGCGATATTTATTACGGCTTCTACTTTTAACATTATGTGCTTTGGCACCCTCATTGCCCTAATATGTCTCTGTCAAAAAAGAGAAAAGTGGACGCAGAGTGCAGAGTGTTCCAAGAAAAATGGTCATCCTATTTATGCTGAAAGAATATAACCTTCGTCGCCACTATGTGAGTCTTCATGCCGACAAATATGACAACTTTCAAGGACAGCGGAGATGAGAGAAGGTGAATGAACTGTTGGCGGGTCTGAAGAAACAGCAGTCTGTGTTTACTCACAGCTGAGACATCAGTGACGCTGCAGTGAAAGCTAGCTACCTCATTGCTAATGAAATCGCAGTGGCTTCAAAACCATTTAGTGAGGGTGAATTTGTAAAAACATGCATGATGAAGGCAGCGGAGATTGTGTGCCCTGAAAAGCGGCAGGCTTTTGCAAATATCAGCCTGACAAGAAACACAGTTGCAGACAGGAT